TCTCTTTGGAATTCATCTCATGTCTATTTTGCTGTTATTGTCGGTGGCAGTGGCGAATTTGCTGTTCCTGGAATCTCCTGCTGGGGTTGGTTTTTCATATTCAAATACTTCTTCGGATTTGTACACGGCTGGTGACCAGAGAACTGGTAATTGTTTTGTTTGTTTGATTGTTGAGTACTTCAGTAGCCTTTTGATTCAATGTGATTATATGCCTTTCTGGCGTAAAGTTAGTTGATTTTGACTTCTTTAAATGCTTTTGGAAACTGGGTGTCGTGCATTTGTAGCTGAAGACGCATACACATTTCTAGTCAATTGGTTTGAAAGGTTTCCGCAGTACAAATATAGAGATTTCTACATCGCCGGAGAAAGCTACGCAGGTGTTGAATTGCATAACATTATTATTTTTTAACTGTGTCATTGAGTTGTTCATCTTAGGGATTGCACACTGTTTACTTGTTTGATATTCGGATTCAGGTCACTATGTACCTCAGTTGTCCCAGATTGTTTATCGGAAGAACAAGGGAATTAAGAATCCTGTAATTAACTTCAAGGGATTTTTGGTGAGAACACAGAACTGATTATTCATAAAAATTGGGAATTGTATAGACTTCTACTGCTTAATGGAAAGTGAATACTAAGTCAATATCTTTTTCTTTCATTTAGGTGGGAAATGCAGTCACTGATGATTATCATGATTATGTTGGCACCTTTGAGTACTGGTGGACCCATGGTTTAATTTCTGATTCTACCTATCGAACTCTACGCCTCACCTGTGATTTTGTATCATCTACACACCCATCAGTAGAATGCATGAAGGCTCTCAAGCTCGCAGAGTTGGAGCAAGGGAACATTGATCCATACAGCATTTTCACACAGCCTTGCAATAATACCGCAGCATTGAGGCACAACCTAAGGGGTCATTATGTAAGCTATCTATCATACCCTTTTCTCTGAATCAACATTATCAAGGGATTCTGCTTAACTGTCAGCAGCAAGATACATGCAATACAAGTTAAACAAGGAACCTAATGCATAATTATCAAAAGTTGATTCTCTGCACCTAGCATGAAATTTCTTACTTGAAAAAAGGGCTATTATGCTTTCATTTGCTCACGGAAGTCTTTTTTGACACCCAATTGGTTTTTGGCACCAGCCTCCAAGTCTTGGATTTGACTGGAAATTTATCATGAACAAGCCTAGCCTTTACTCATAGTGTTTCACATCTAAGATTCTACCATCAATAGCTCAATAGACATAGGAAGATAGTTTTCTTAGATTTAAAGAGACGTGTGCAAATTTCCACGATATTTTAGCAATAACGAAAAAAGAATATAACAATTATCAAACAAATTGCATTCGAAGAAGGTAATCCACCAAGCATATATTTTTGCAAATATATTCTGCGGCCTGTTAAAAAAATACTCGTACATTTTCACTGCTCGAAAAAGTGGCAACTTTATTACAGTGACTTGTTTCCGAGTAGCTAATTTGTGGGCTCGTCCCGGTACCGAAGGTAGTTGTTAAATATTAAGTTTCTGACATCCATCATCAAGTTTGTGGTTTTGGACCATAGATTGTGGTACCTGGGTCATGTGATGCTGTTTCTGACCATGACTTCGAAATTCGTGCCAAACTTTTCTTGACCTCTCAACAAACACAAATCTGAATCCAATCTCATCCTTTTTTATGCTAGATCTTCATCTATAAGATTATGTTTTCTACAGTTTCTAAAAGATTTCACAGGAGTGAGTGTTACCTCAATGATTAATTTGTGTTTCCTACTTGCACGACTGATTTTCCTTTTGTTTTTTTAAATAACACGGTTTCAAGAAAATTAATAATGAATGATATAAATTTAAAATTTGTTGAGAAAATAACATGGTTTGTCAATAACTGTGGTTGAAATGTTATTTGGTATCGTAGATTTAATACAATCTTATTTCTAATAATGGTTTTTCAACGATAAAAATTCAGATTAATAATTTCATAATAAATAAATTACATTGCATTTATGTTACATTTACAAACATTTTTTTTTCCATGACAGTTGCTATTAAGGAAAAAAAACTCTAAAAACAAAAAAACCCAAAGAAAAAACAAATTTAATCATCCAAAAAACCACTCATTCCTCCACCAAAATACTAGAATCATTCTTTTCTTATCTTTACGAGTATTTCAACTTTTTTTTTTTGTTGCATCTACATGTTATTGTTATTGCATAAAACATAAATAGGCTAAAATATATTATTATGCTGTGTATAATTGTGCTATGTTATTTTAGATAAGAATTATTTTTTTATTATTTTTATAATATTATTTTTCCTGATTAACATGTTAATTTTAAAGTTGTCTAATATATCATGCATTTTCATACTTAGTTTATATAAGCATGATTTAATAATGTTAATTGAAAAATAAACATCTGAATAAATAATTTTATATTTTAAGTCATCTTAACAACTTAAAAAATACACATAAATAAAAATAATATTTTAAAAGCACATGTATTAATTTAAGATTATAATTAACCAATAAAAATAATATTAAAATAACTTTTGTTTTAATTATGGGTTTAAGGTTTGGTAACTTGTAGTTTTGTGAGTTTTTTGATCATGGTGGTTTAAACTTTGTTTGATGTAAAAATTTTAAGTAGACTATGCTGTTTGATGTAAACACCCATATTCTCGTTAACAGTTGTTAATAGAACCGTATTCTCAATAATAATCGAGTCAAACTTTTATCTCCTATGTTATTTTGATAAAAGACTTTGATTTTATTTGTTTTGTATCCCTGAATTATCTTTGATAAATTTTAGGTAAAAATTTAATACACCATACAATCCATGAATGTAAATACTGTTCATTGATGGACGAGTAAACTAGAAATGCTCTACAGTACTTCATTCACTCTGTCCATACTTTTTGCCGTAGACAGTACTTAATCTGGTACTAGCAAGCTCATTTTGTTATTTTCAAACTCAGCCATGGATGTCCAGAGCATATGATCCCTGCACAGAGAGGTATTCTAAAGTGTACTTCAATCGCCCTGAAGTCCAGAAGGCACTCCATGCAAATGTAACTGGGATTCCTTACCCATGGGAAACATGCAGGTGTTATTTTTTTCTCTTAATTTTTTGAGAATTCTGTTACATATCTTCCAATAAGGGTGCTAACTGAATCACTACTTCACAGTAACATTGTAGGAGACTACTGGGCAGATTCTCCACTTTCCATGCTTCCTATATATAAAGAACTCATTGCTGCAGGTCTAAGGATATGGGTGTACAGGTAAGTTCCCACCTTTGCCTTTTCCCCGCCATTCCCTTTGTTCTGGATTAAATCAGGGAAATCTGTTTAGTTGCTTGAACATATCAAATGGTAGTTCTAGAAGGAATGCTTGTGGAATTGATTATTATGCTTTTCTTTTCAATACTTGATTTCGGTGAGCAGGAGATCTAACTTGCTGTTTGAAATTAATGATACAAACTTTTTAGCAGTTTTACTTTTGTGATTTGTTTGCTTGTGTACGTGGATCTTCTTTATGATTCAGAGTTGTTTCTAGATGTTTTTGGTTCTGAACATGTCAAAGAAGATGTTGACATAGACACGGTGGAACTAACAAAAAGGACTCGTTTAGCTAACCCCAACTAATTTGGGTTGATCTGTTTTCATGTTATTTGGATCCATTGGTCTGTTTTTGTGGAACACTTGAGTTTAATCTTTATTTGCAACTAACTATGGCCTAAGTTGGTCAGTAAAGAGCCGAGAGGTTTTGTTGGATCATGTTTTCACCTACACCTGGTAGCTGGGAACTGGGAAGTTGGAACAGAATAAATTTCTTCTGAACCGCTGAGTTCTTGGCCAACTAAATTAATCTCCATGTCTGGATAAGGAATCTTGATTGCAGAAGGTAGTGTTGATAAAGATTGACGACTTTGGATCTATTTACAGTAGGTTAGACATGTTGTGTGCTCTGGCACCAATAATTGCACTGGGCCCAAATGTTTGTTTTGTTAGGTGGAAGCGTATTAACTATGTCCACTTGACTGAGAAGAGTCACCGAAGTCAACATGAAGGCAGCTTCTGAAACTGAGTTTAAATGGGATAGACAGAATTCGTAGGAAAACAGCTGCTTAACGATGACCAAAAGCTATGATTATATAAAAACAACGGAATGGATGTTCGTTTTGGATGGTCAACTTTAAGAATTTACTTTGGTGATGTATAATATTCATGAAAAAAGGTCGGACTTCATTATTTTCAACTAGGATTTGGCCTTTGTTTTATGTTACGGCACTGGTTAGCAGTATAACCTTTTGCCCTCAATTGTTTTTATCCTCATTACGCCATGCATCTAACTCTGCTTGATCTCTTTGACCAGTGGAGATACTGATGCAGTGGTTCCTGTTACTGCAACTCGATACTCAATTGATGCCCTTAAACTGCCGACTATTATAAATTGGTATCCGTGGTATGACAGTGGAAAGGTAAGTACCCATCTACTATACAGAGAACTAATTGCTACAACCACCTTATTTTGGTGTAACCATTGATCTGAACATTTGGGGATTTGATATTCTTTTCTTGCAATACAGTAGTAAGAAAAGGGTGGTATAATAATCTTACAGAACTCCATGGTAATTTGTTCATCTCACATCCTTTTCTTGCCTCTTTTATAGGTTGGCGGGTGGAGCCAAGTATACACAGGGCTAACTTTTGTAACAGTAACCGGAGCAGGGCATGAAGTTCCACTCCATCGCCCTCGACAGGCTTTTATTCTTTTCATGTCATTTTTAGGGAACAAGTCCATGCCGGGCCGAAGCTTTTAGTCCTTGCATTAATCATTGATGAATAAACAAGCGACAGATAATAGAATTTGTTCATACACAGGCTTATAAATGACAGTACGAGAAGCATTCCTCTCGAGTGCTCCTCCATTCTTCCATAAGGGCACCATTTCTATATTTAAGTTGTAGCATATCAAAATGTATGGAGCTATTCTTTATAGTAATTCAATTATTTGAACTGTAAGTTTAGACAATAGAATTGTACTAATTTCCAAGAAATTTATACGTAATGGAGTTAAAATATTTGTGCCCCCAGGATTTACTTTTTCTTGGTTTGATTAGCAATTTTTGGAAACTGGATTCTAAATCCAGTTGAAAGAACTCAGATTAACACCATGGGGTGCAAAAAGATTACCCTACAAGGGTGAACTCTTGAAACCCGAACATCAAATTTGCAGTAGGGCAAATTCGGTGGACTGATATGAATCAAATGAAGGGGAGAGGAGAGGCTCGTGGTAACCCACGCTTCTGACCTTGCATGCACTCAATTCAAAGTATTTCGCATGGAAGGACTTCATCATTCTGAAAATCAATAGAAATGTTAGAATCATAAAAGTAATCAGTAAAATTATCACTGCTACTATCAATAAGAAGGTGTTGTAAGGACTCGTGCCTCAAAATTAACGAAGTTGGGGGCGTTGTTACGGCTAGTTTTACGACCTTCCAACCCAAGAAACAGTGTAACACCCAGAAGTCAAGAATCCCAGGAGGCAAGGAGGAACACTGTGCTCTAGTAGGACCACTTGCCCCATGTGGGTGTAGCTTATTGGAGAATGCACAGGCGCCATCAATTCCATCAAAAGAAGTCGACGGTCCATGGTAATAATATCTGGGCGGCAGATCCTTGTCCAGCTCATTGCAATATTTATAACTCACATGTTTATCGCATCATGTAATATAGTAGCCAAAACATGGCTCAAACAGCATGTTTCTTAATCTTGATCATCCTCTCCCTGTTTGCACAAACCGTCCAGCGGATCTATAGGAAGGTACCCTGAACTTCAGTTTTGATTGATTGGTTAGCATTAGAAATGATAGATATAGAGAAAAAAACATGTATGATTAGAAAAATAGAAATAAATTCATCTCCGATAGAGTTTTAGAATGAATTTCTATATTTTTAAGATAGAAAATACAACAATGCATGTCTTATCCATCTCTGTTTCTTCTATATCAATACAGCAACTCAAGTGATACGTCTATACGCAAAATTTCTTGCTGAAGTAAGGGTAGTTTAAAATGCCTCTTATTTTTAGCAGTAAAAGAAGAAAAAGGAACGCTAAAAGAACATTTGTTGATACCGTTTCAAGGTGAGCATAACTGCTCAACAGTTTTGGATTAAAAAAACAAAAAGGGGAAAAATCTGGATGATGAAGTAGGAGCACAAACTACCATGTACCAACCCAAAAAAAAATCGACCACCATATCATGTGTGCATGCAATTCAACAAAAGGAAGTACCATGGACAGCGCAGAGGGCATGTAAGAAGTCAATAAATAATAACATATAACTGACTTTGCAGGCTACACAGTTTTTTCTAAGTAACACATGCTTTGGCTATACTCTTAGACAACCTAAAAGCAGGGGCTGAAGTCAATTGTTAACGAGCTAACAACTAATTTAAACACCCTTTAAAGACCCCGAAACCCGCATTCAAGACAGACAAGCAAAGCCTGATTTTTCACTTATGGCAATGCACATTAGGACCTCTTCTCGCTCTCTCCTCTACGTCTTAAATCTTGCTACACTCCTGCTTTCTACTATTGCGGCCACCAATCACGGTCACCTTGAAGAGCAGAGGAGGGATAAGATTATCAAGCTACATGGGCAGCCACCAAACGTGAGCTTCTCTCAATTCTCTGGCTACATTACTGTGGACCCGTTGGCAGGACGGGCTCTCTTTTATTGGTTGATTGAGGTCCCCAAGATTGTCAAGCCCAAGTCAAAGCCACTAATTCTATGGCTCAATGGTGGGCCTGGCTGCTCATCTGTGGCCTATGGAGCTTCAGAGGAGGTCGGTCCATTCAGGGTCCGACCCGATGGCAAGACCCTGCATTTGAATCCATATGCTTGGAATAAAGGTAAACATGGTCGAGATGATCATGTAATAATTTCTGAGGTTAATCGCTTAATGTGTGATCTTAGCAGTTTATTGTTTTTTTATTACAATAATCAGTCATCGAGGCCTCATTTATATCTAGATGGGACCTTGAATGATGGCGGGTGTCTCTATTAAATTGCCTGTTCTCCCCTGTTCAAGTTTCATGTGCATTGGTGCAAGTGCTGTGACATTTTGAGTGTTGCAAGAAATAAATAAAATATCAGAGAGTTTTGGTTTTTGCAGTGGCAAATTTGCTGTTTCTTGATTCACCTGCTGGTGTGGGATTTTCTTATTCAAATACTTCATCAGATACATACACGGTTGGTGACAAGAGGACAGGTACTCGTAACAGTATAGAATAGATAATTTTGCTATAATTTGTCAACAAGTTTGTTAGCCTGTCCTCCCTAGTCCCTAACTAGGCGATTATTGCTGAAATGTGAAAGTGCAGCCAAAGATGCTTACACTTTTCTGGTTAACTGGTTTGAGAGGTTCCCTCAATACAAGCACAGGCCTTTTTACATTGCTGGAGAAAGCTACGCAGGTGGTTAATTAATTAATTGCTCACCTCCAACTAACGTTTGACTAATAATTTGATCGCATTAATTAATATTTCATTAATCCATGCAAATTCAGGTCATTACATCCCTGAGCTGTCACGAATTATAGTCCGGAGAAATAAGGGAGTCAAGAATCCTGTCATTAATTTCACAGGTTTCTTGGTGTGTCAATCTTGCCCTGAACAACACTAAAATTGGTCCAAAAATATCTTCACATGCAATCTTAATTAATGTTTTTTTTTCTTCCTGTTTTTGCAGTTGGGCAATCCTCTTATAGATGATTATCACGATAACGTTGGCACACACGAGTTCTGGTGGAACCATGGATTGATATCCGATTCTACTTATAAAGATCTAAAGAAGTTCTGCCCAAACAGTACTTTCTTGTTCCCAAAAAGTGAATGCAACAGTGCTTTAAATAGGGCATATTCAGAGTTTGGAGATATAAATCCTTATAGCATTTACAGCTCTCCTTGCAATAAAATCACTACTCTTAGAGACTATCTAAACCATTCACTGGTATATTATATTCTTGGATCTCTCAAAATCCCTGTTCTTTTTGTTATTCCACACTTTCCGCTGATTAATTGTGGAACTTGTGAAAATAATTTGGTTGTCCTAACGAGTTGGTAGCTTTCATTTGTTGGGTTTTAGCCATGGAAATTCAGAGGAAATGACGAGTGTCTGGTGATGTACACAAAAAGATACATGAACCGCCCAGAGGTGCAAAGGGCTCTTCATGCCAATATTACCAGGATTCCTCATCCTTGGGCCACTTGCAGCTCTATTGTCAGGAGAAACTGGAGTGATTCTCCTAAATCCATGTTGCCAATCTTCAAAGAACTTATAGCAGCTGGTATTAGAATATGGGTTTTCAGGTAAGCTCACGCTGAAAAAGATTTAGTTACAAGTCATCCATTCTGATAATTTGCATAAAATCAATAACAGGGAAATCATATTTTCTCAAAGGGTAATCGATATTTATTCTATCAACAGTGGTGATACAGATGCGATTTTGCCACTAACTGCAACCAGATACTCCATTAATGCTCTACGGCTAAAAACCAACATAAGCTGGTATGCTTGGCACGACGACCATCATCAGGTTAGTCAACTACAAATGCTGAAGTGATGGTTTTTGCGTAGAGTATATAGATTTCCTATCTCTGATTTTCTCTAAGCACGAAGAATTTTCTGTTGGTATTGATTTGCGCTTCTTTTTCATGCTTGGTCTGTTCAGGTCGGTGGGTGGAGCCAAGTTTACAAGGGCTTGACCTATGTGACAGTGAGGGGAGCAGGGCATGAGGTGCCTTTAACTCAGCCTCGACTTGCTTTATTGCTATTTAGGCAATTTCTGAAAAACGAACCCATGCCAGCATTTTAGTCCTAGAAGACTTGCTGTTGTTTAATCCTGAAGGTTACTAGCTGCGTATAGAGTGTTTTTATTTTTCTTTTCAAATCATTATTTGATTAAACAAATTAAAAGTATAAATGACAAAAATTAGAAATCTTTTTAGCCTCATTGTCTTCCCGCTGCTCGGCTAAGAATAAAGAATGAACATTAAAAGTCTTCTGGTCTTTTCAATTAGTTAGCATTTATGCATCTGATGCAACAATTTCCTCCTTGTTTTTTGTCATTATTGAGCAATGGACATGAAACTTGGTGGGAATTCTTTACCATTAAGAAATTAGATTGTTCAGTGGAGCCGTAAAGTGAATAAGAAAGGCACTAAAACAAAGATGGGTGGAGATAAGGAAGAAGCATCATTTTATTCTGTGATCCCCCTCGACCGGAGATAATTCTGGTTCTGGCCATGCTTCAAAAGAAAGCTAAAAAGAGGGTCCAAGCCCTGAAAGCATCTCACTGTTCTACAAGCTAGCAATTACCTAAATGCCTGCTATTCTTTGCTTGCCTTGGTCAATTGCATTACGGATTGATGCCTTTACCATAATCTCAGAGAATATTTGGCAATAGAAAAGAGAATTCTTGCTTGCTGTGAACAAACATCGCATGTCAAATTCGTACATGTAAAAACAAAGTAATAAAAAGTAGCCCGCAAGCCAACAACTCATCGATTTAAAACCTAACTCGGGTTAGGTTTTACTCTGAACTGGTTTTTTCTATTAAAATAATATTGATCGGTATAATCTCAATATACTTGATTCACTATATGAACTCGATTTGGAATTTGAGATGGGTTAACTCTGGAATAGGTTTTAGTGTAAAAAAACAATGGAGAGCAACCATACATACCTTTTCATTAATAAAGAAAGGTAGGAAGACATCGTAATTTCTACGTTGGTTAAAAATTGTCTACTTATTCATGCATGTATGTTAGGAACCCTATAATTTTAAACTTTTCAAATTATTCTCACCTGGTATGGGCACGCCATGAGGTATTCCTATCATTTAAATCATGAATAATATTTGAAAAAAAATTGAAAATTGAAATTAATATAATTTCTCCTTCTCAAGTATGCTATAAGAATTGTGGGTTGTGTTTGGCATCGCCTGCCCAATTTTAGTCCTAAACCAAGTCCTTGCAAATTGGAACTTAAGACTAGATTAGGAATCTCAATACAGTATGCTTCCAGGGCAGATCAGTCAATCTAAACGCTCCACAAAGTTACTTGCAGACTAAGAAGTATAATTAACTCCTTCCACGAACATCGCATAAAGTTTTCTTGAATACCCTAATACGCAAAAAAGCAAATAGAGCAAAGGTTATAAACATTTTGAATTCTTGAATCTTGCAGGAACACAAAATAAAGAAAAGCAATGCCACCCGTTAAAAGTGAAAAAGAAAGGCTGAAGAAGACACCATATATATAACAAGAAAAGAAGCATCATGCTATGGAGAGAGAACACTATTAGAAATTAATGGATCAAAAGAGGGAGAGAGAGGTTCGGGTTTAGTACTGTGGTCGAAGTCCTAACATATAGAGATTTTAATTAAGCCAAGGAGATGTATAGGTTTAGCAACACAGTAATTGGTTTCTTGAATCTTTTCACTCTCTTAGCATCCATACCAATAATTGGTGGAGGTTTATGGATGGCAAAGAGTAGCACAACCTGTGAAGGTTTCCTCCAAACCCCACTCCTTGTTGTAGGCTTCGTCGTGCTTATAGTCTCACTAGCTGGCTTCATTGGTGCATGTTTTCATGTAGCCTGGGCACTCTGGGTCTACTTAGTAGTCATGTTACTTCTTATTGCAACCTTAATGGGTTTGACTATATTTGGCTTTGTTGTCACTAGCCAAGGCGGCGGTGTGGAAGTGCCCGGTAGGGTTTACAAGGAGTATAGACTGGAAGATTATTCTCCATGGTTAAGAAATAGAATTAAAGATCCTGATTATTGGAGAACAATTAGGAGTTGCATATTGGGTTCCAAGACTTGTGCTAAGCTTGCCTCTTGGACCCCTCTTGATTATCTAGAGAAAGACATGTCTCCCATACAAGTATAATCTTTAATCTCATCAATCTTGTTCGCTCTTGAATTTTGTGGCGTTGTGGCGGTTTTTCTTGATTTTTTAATCTCTACGATTTTTGGTGCAGTCTGGATGTTGTAAGCCACCGACTTCATGTAACTACAACATGGCAACAGCGGTGCCCCAAGACCCAGATTGCTATAGATGGAACAATGCCCCAACTTTACTGTGCTACGAGTGTGATTCGTGCAAAGCTGGAGTTCTTGAAGATGTTAGAAGGGATTGGCACAAGCTTTCAGTCCTTAATATTGTGATGGTTGTGCTTCTGATTGGAATTTATTCGACAGGATGTTGTGCTTTCCAGAATACAAGAAGGGCTGAAACTGATTACCCCTATGGTGAAAATCGGATGACCAAAGTCCGACCCAGATGGGATTATTACTGGTAAGTGAAAATCAAACCATGCTTTTATACTCATTTAAGATGTATTAATTGAGACTCCTCATCGCAGAAAACCTCATATAACACACACTCACTAACTTAATTAAGGTTGGGTTTTTGAAAATTTAAGTGCTCAGATTGGAATCTTCACTTCTCAAAATCATGTACGAAAGGAAAATGATAAAAGAGAAAAGAACTCATTTTGACTGATTTATAACTTTGGAACTGATGATGATTTGATAAAACGTAGGTGTTTAATTTAATCACAAGATCTTTTTGTGATTTTTCTCTCTTAATTATGCATCAAATATTCATTATGAAAAGATAGCTGTTACTTCATTGGGCCTGCTCAATCTCGAGGCTACAATTAGGCCGGCAATGATGGGGCCAGGGCCAGATCGGCCAGTAAAGATTTCCACAGCTAAGTCATGCTTTGGTTTCCTTCTTTACAGGTGGAGATGGTGGCAGGACAAGAGAGAACAACTTTACTAGCTGGAGTCCCGATGATCTTTCAAAAATCTCCTGCTTGAGTTATTTTTCAGTGTCAGGGACACTTCAGTTGTTTTTCAGTTTATGGGGTGCATCTTGGAAGTTTCAAGGTCACCTTTCACAGTCCTTTCAGAGTCTTTTTTTTTTCCCTGTACACGGATTGATTTACCTTTGATTTCAAAGATCACACCAGTATCTTTCTTTTACTTTCTGCCCTTTCACGTTATGCAGGTTTAAAACACCCACTAAGCTATAATTATATTCACAAGTTTTCTTGATCTTGAAATGACACGAGCTGTATTTCATACTTAATTTTCTTTTCAAGTATATCACATCAATTAGCTAGGATTAGCAAACTTCTAAAATGAGTAACAAGTCGTTTGCAATGCATGAATCCATAGAAATGCTCATGAAACATTATTAGTCAATGATGAAAGGGGAAAACAAGGGCGGAGGCCTCGAAAGAATTGGAATGTTCAGTTGGGAATTCCTCCTTTCTCGAACCTCTAGCTTATAATTTCTTTCATGGAGGAATATGATGGCTCAACAAATCCCATATGCATAACCAAAATTGTTGAAATGATGAAGAGTAGTGGAAGCAGTATCAATCTCAAGTTGCCAAAATCTTCAGCTTGTCTAGTACCATTTGCTGCCAAAATCTTCAGCTTGTCTAGTACCATTTGCTGCCAAAATCTTCAGCTTGTCTAGTACCATTTGCTGCCAAAATCTTCAGCTTGTCTAGTACCATTTGCTGCCAAAAGGGGCAAGAAAGGGGTGGTCTATACCAAAAAGCTCTTCAATGGGAGCTTCCCAACAACATTGGCTTCTATTGCTTTTCCTTATTTGCCTAGGTACTTTCTCCATATCTTTTTCCGGCCTCTAGTTGATTAAGAATCAGTTGACTGCATATTATGCTCAAAAACATTAGCATTTCGATGAGTGGGTGCACGTCGGAACCTGGAGGAGCAGGGTTTCCGGTGAGAAACAGATCCATGATGGGATCTACATTAGGGTGGCCAAAGGAAAAGGCCTTTTGAGATGGAGAGAAATTAACCATCATTGTGGGTATTTTTAATGATTTTTCTTGGATATTTCTTCAATCTTGTTTTTATCATAATTAAACCCAACTTTTTATTTCACCTAAAATATGCCATCCACTTCATGATATTCACGAGGATTTTACTTCAATGAAAGAAAGAAAGAAAATCTCTCAAGAAATTAGCATTTATCAATATCTATCGACGATGCATATGGTTGAGGCGGGCCTGGCCACGGTCTATTCTAAAACGAGAACAGGCTTTTTTGCCGAAAGAAAACTGATGGGCAAATGGATCATGGGTCCAGTCTAAGCGAGTCGATCTCTGTTCGTATAGCTTTCAGCTAAGTGATGCTTGCTTGTGCCTGGAGAAGGTGAGGATGGTGGCATGACAGAACATCTTTATCAGCTTAATCGATCAAAATCTCTTTGCTCGTGCTTTAAAGATGGGACTGTTCAAGTTTCTAGAGTTTTATTCGGTGTAGCAAGTGGTGCGGACACCGAATATGAAATATTATTTAAACACTCATAATAGATGATGATGGAGAATAATTCAAATTATTAAACAATTAATCTTTAATTTATATTTTAGTTTTATTTATATGAATTTGTAACTGAAGTTTATTAATTAGGTTTTATTTATTGAGTTTAATTTAATTTATTGTTGGATAATTTATTTAGTGGATTATACGTGTAATCGCTTGTTCTAATTAGATTTTTAATATTTATATCTTATTTTTCTAAATATTACATAGTTTTGATAATTAATTAAAGATACTGTACAATTATATATTTTTCAATCCTCATTTTTCTCTTTCAATATTTTTCAATCCTCGTTTTTCTCTTTTTTTTTGCTTTTAATTCTTAGTTTTTTCTCTAGGAATTTATTTTTTTCTTCTTTAATTTTTTTGTTCATTATTCTGCATCACTATACATCGAGTCGTTGGTTTATTTTTTGTTCATTATTCTGTATAGTTTATTTTTGTTTATTTTTTCCAGTATATTATTAGTCCAGCCAGCTTTACTGCTCCCTTGGCACCAGTGGAGCGTTGCAACCCATGAAATAAAAATAAAAAAATATATTATAGAATCGCCAGTGAGATGCTCACTCCAATGTTAATCGGAAAAACAACCACCAATTTAGGTGGTGGTGGGTAGGCATCTGCTTTGACGTAATTATATATGAAGAGGTTC